AAACATATACCAACACAAACACTTGTGAATGTTCTAGCAGCTTTATTTAATAATGGCTAAGAAGTGGTGAATGGATAACAATTTGTGGAACATCCATGTAATGGAAACTATTCAGCGATAGAAAGAAATAAACTACTAATACACCTAACAACATAGATAAGTCTTGCCCTGACTTCTGTGGCTCAGTGGATTGGGCATTGTTCTGCAAACCAAAAGGTGGCTGGTTTGATTCCCAGTCAGGGTACATGCCTGGGTTGTGGGCCAGGTCCCTGATGTTTCTCTCCTTTTCTCCCTCCCTTTTCCTCTCTCTGAAAATAAATAAATAAAATCTTTAAAACAAACAAACAAACAAACAGATGAATTTAAAAGCTTTATGCTGGGTGAAAGAAACCAATCTTAAAAGTCTATATATTGTAGGGTTCCATTTTTATGCCATTCTAGAAAAAGCAACAGAACTCAGAACAGTTGCTGGAGTCTGGAGGGTGGAGAGGCATGGGGAAATTTCTGAGGGTGATAGAAATGCTTTGTATCATGATTGTGGTGGTGGTTGCACTATTACATATATACATAAGTATATATATATATATATATTTGTCATATATTTGTGAGTTTAATTTAATCTGTATAATGACCACCCCATGCAGAAGCTGCTATTAGCCTCATTTTACAGATGTGGACATTGAGGCCCAGGGGAGTTAAATAACCCAGCCAGGAAGGAGTCCATTGAGATTAAAACCTGTATAAGCCGGAGTCTGAAGATGAGGTTTGAGCACCCCACCATTGATGTCATCTGATAGTTTTGTCTTTCTGTCTTTTTCCCACACCTTTGCTTCTTATTTCTCTGCCTGCATCCTCACAAATCCAGCAAACTCCTGCACACAAATGCCCCTCCTCTCTTCAAAACACAGCTGGCTCTGATGCCAAAGTCTGGCTCTGGCATCTGGATTCAGCCTGACTGAATTTGGGCACATGTGTGGTGACACACATCTGGGGAACGACACCTGAAGTCTGACAAGATGAATTAGCACTGCTCATCAAGCTGGAACATGGTATGGCCCCTTCCGCAGGACAGAAGCAATGCCCCTCACTGGAAACCCTTTACAAGTGAGCAGAGACACCTGGATTTCTGGCAGCACTTTCCAGGTGATGTCGGCCTTTCAGAGCCAGCAGAGCTTGGGGAATGGTTGGAGAGGCCTTCCCTGCTTTAGGAAAGGGATCCAGACCTCACTCACTGCCAACCCATGAGGAGACCAAGACACGGGTCCCATGGCAGCACCCAGCAGGCCGACAAGCACCCAGAGCTGTGCAGGAGATCTCCCTTCTTCCTCTGAGCATCTGGAGGCCTTGGCAGATGTTGGGAACCATCCCTCTGGTTCAGGGACTGTAGCCTTGGTGACAGGTAAGAGGGCCCCAAACTTGGAGCTGAGCGAGGAGGCCTTGGGAAAATAGTCCACTGAGGAGACAAAACCTGTCCCCCGGGCAGGAGTGCTGCCCCTACTTCCCTCACATCACCCTGCTTGGCCCTGGTGGATGGCTGGTTAGTCAATGATGGGTAAGACCACTCGATGCCAGGGGCAACCTAAGACAAGTACAGTCACATAGGGGCCTCAGGGAAGGACTTAGGGGACACGGAGAAAGGGCAAAACACCCTCACCCCTCGTCTTTGTCATGGCTGGAGTCCTCATTCTATCTGAAAGAAGTCTCCTCATCTTTTGGCTGCTCTGCTCCACCTGCCTGACCGGGTCAGTGAAACAATACTGAAGGCAGGTACAGCCCTAATCTGGATCAGGCAGTTCTCTGGGGACAAGTAGGCCTGGAAAAGGAATGCATTAAGTCCTATGAAACTTACTTTACTAAAAATGCCCTGGAGTTACCAAGTACTGATGTTTAGGAACCAAGTATAGAATGTGATCAGTTTCCCTAGTTTCAGGGCCAAACGGGCATGCCACCCTGTCTACCAAATCGGGACCTGAGGCAAGTCTCTGTGTTCCATCAATTGTTATCTACGATCTCTATCTGTTTTCTGTAAACTATAGCCTTTGACATTGACTGATGAGCTTTGCATGCATACTGTATACCCCTGTGCATTATCATTCTCCATAAAAGCCCCTACGAGAGAAGGGCTCGGGGCATTCTCCACTACAGGGAATTGTGACCCCCTATTCCTGGAAGACCAAGAAGTGTCCTGAATGGCTTACTTTATTTTTCATCATCTGTGGCAACCCAGGGGGACTCTGCGAGAATAGGGTACCCCCATCAGGCAGACCCCCAGCACTGGTCACTTCTTCCACTGCAGCTGCCCTGGTTCTTCTGGATGCCAGTGCTTTGGGTATCTGGGCTAGTTTGGATGTGGGTGCCTCAGGCAGAGCCTTTATGCAGGTTCAGGATCAGTGTGTGGACATGGACATGGACATGGAGTTAATCCAGTCCTTGCAGCCTGTCAGCATTCATTAGGCATCTTCCTTTCCCATACCAGCTGTCCCAGAGGTGCTCCCATTCCTTCCATACACTGCCCCACTATGTTAGGCTGGAGAGAAAATGGAAGGTAAGGAGTTTGGCAGGGGAAGGGAAAGGGTTGCAGTGAACACCCACAGTGCCTTGCACTTGATAGGCAAAGTGAAGGGCTAGCAGGAGGCAAAGTGGACGTGGGGAGAGCCCAGAGCACTGATGGCCATAGACTTATGGAAGAGGACACCTGGAGCAAAAACATGGATGCAGGAGGCATTTTACAAGGTCATCAGCCGTGCAAGCTGCTCCTCATGCCTGGTCATGCATGTGGTCTGCGTGCCTCCTGCCTCTTTCTCTAGACAGCTGCCACAGACCTCACAGCTACTGGGCCCCCACTTTCCAAATACTACTACATAGCTTCCCCTCTCCTCCACCCACCTCATCTCCAACACCTCCCCTTTGCTCATCTTCTATACCTCCAGCTCCCTCCTCATCTGAGGGTACTTCCTCTAACCTGGGTCCTCCTACCCTCTGATATCTGGCTAGAAGCTCCACCTCCTCCAGGCTGTACTCCCTACCCCCCGCCCAAGTCTGTGCTGATTTATCACTCCTCTGAATCCCAGGAGCATTGCCATCTCAGCTGCCAGCTGTCCTCCCCCCTGTGGGCCTACCTCTTTAGTCTTTTACCTTGTCCCTCTTGCCTTCTGGAGTGGGCCGTGCAGGCAGCATGAAGGTGTTGTATCTCCACAGCCTGGGCACAGTGCTGTACCTCAGTAGGAGGAACACAAGCCACCCAAGCCAAATTAAAGAAACTTAAAGAAAGAGAGGATTTCCTAGGAAGGCAGGGGGAGCCTCATGAACCCAAAGCCAGGGTGTGACCCATTCATCTCCTTTGGCTTTTCCAGGTCTCCATAATCTCTTGCTCAACCTCTCTCTGCACCTCTGCACCTCATTGCTTCCTCTGCTTTAGGCCTAAACATCAATTCCCAGACCCTGGCTTCAAAGTTTTCTAAGTCTGGAGCTCACAGTGGAATGAGAGTGAATTAGGGCTCTGAGGCCCTACTCCTGGGGCCTGGGAGAGAGACTCTGATTTTTTTTAAAGATTTTATTTATTTATTTTTGGAGAGAGGGGAAGAGAGGGGAAGGAGAAGGAGAGAAACATGGGTCCATGTGAGAGAGAAACATCAATGGGTTGCTTCTTGCATCTGTCCCAACTGGGGACCGAACCTGAAACCCAGGTGTGTGCCCTGACCAGGAATCTAACCAGCGACCTTTCACTTTGTAGATGACACCCAACCAGCTGAGCCACACTGGTCAGGGTGGAAGAGATTCTGATTGACCCCTGGGTCCAGTGACTTCCCTGTGCAGTGACCAATGGCAGTGGGTCAGGATCATGTGACCCATGCAAGGGTTGGAACTCTGAGGAGTATGATCAGGTCCTCCAAGGAGGCACAGGATATGGAAGAAATGGGGGCACCTCTGGGACAGCAGGCTCAGGGAAGGAAGATGCTTAGTGAATGCCTAGTGACTGGCTATAGGGCCTGGGCCAAAGCTCCAGGTTGGAGCCTTTATTTCTGCCCTTTCCCCTTTGGCATCTGGGCCATGAACTCACTTCAGTCTTTCCAGAATCCTGTTTATTTTTCTCACTTATTCACAAAGGTGGCCCAAAAGACCTGGGTTCTAATTCAGGATTGCCACCTACCAGCTCGGTGAATATGGGCAAGTTAACAAGATTTCTAAGTGTCCCATTGGCAAAATAGAGGTTATAGGAATAGCCAAGTGTGGTTGTGGGGGAAGTCACAGGAGTCTCTGGAGTTAAGGGTCTACAGAGTGCTCGGCACCCATATGGTAGGGACCCTGAGAATCATGTCTTTTCATGTTTTTCATCTCAAAAATAAGAAATCTGGGTGACATGTCACTGTGTTTTTTTGACACTGGCATATAAAAGATATATCATAATAATGGCATGTTAGATTTGGTGAAATATGGAATCATTACCAGTTGTGCCGGTCTGGGGCAAAGTGCAATATCTCTGGGTAAAAATGTCCCATCTGCAAAATGGAGACAATGTCTCACATTCAGCTAGCCACAAGGAGGCTAAAATAAGACCATATCTGTACATTTATTATTATTATTATTATTATTATTATTATTATTATTATTCTTTTTAATCCTCACCCAAGGATACATTTTTATTGACCTTAGAGAGAGAGAGAGAAACATCAATGTGAGAGAGAAACATTGATTAGTTGCCTCCTGTATGTGCCCTGATCAGAGATCAAAACCTTAACATAGGTATGTGCCCTGACAAAAAAGATTGAACCCACAACCTTTCTGGTGCGCAGGAAGATGCTCCAACCAACTTAGCCACTTGGGCTGTTCACAGTTTTGATTGTGCCTGTCCTTCACTTTCTTCCCTCCTGGATAGCACCACTGTGGATAAGATGGGCCTTGCACAAACCAGGCCCTCCTGAGCTGGAAGCGTGTTTGTTTATCTGTGAAGAGGGAGGCCTCAGCACTGAGGGCCAAGTAGGCAAATATTTGCAGTTGAGGATTAACTCCAGTTCCAGGCCATCATGGCGGCAGAAGGGCACCCCGGCAGTTTCTCCAGGGCCCACCCCAGTAAGTCCCCTTCCAGGAAGGTCTGTGAGGTGGGTTGCAGGAGGGCTGGGCATGGGTAAAGGCTAAATCCTTGAGCCAGGGTTTTAGAGGAGGGCTGCAGTTTGAGATAAAGGGAAATCAGGGTTCTGCCACCAGCCAGGCCAAGATACTGCTGGGCAGTCCTCAGGCCTGGGTGTCATAGTTTCAAGGGGCTTTAAGGCAAGTGGAAGTCAGTGGAGGGCTTCCAGGGCTCAAGACTTCCAGGGCCCAGGGTCATCACCAGTGGCAGCTTATAGTCCAGGACCCTCCATTCTCCCACCCCACCCCCACTTCTAAACCCGGCCTCTGGTTTAAACAAATGTCAGAATGAGCCTCAGAATCAGTGAAGATGGAGAGTGGTCAGACAGGGTGCAGACTGGCAAGCAGGTCTGCCCACTCAATCTTGGAGGTAGTAGAAGGCTCCTTGGCTTCCAGTCAGCAGGGCTACCTCTCTGGCCTTGTGGGCCACCCAGTGCTTTGGGGCATGGTTTGCAAGGCCTGGAGCCACCCAGGCTTGGGCTTAGGTCTGAGCTCTTTTTCCTCCTGGTTGTGGGTTTTTTAGTAAGTTACTGCACTCCTCTGAGCCTCAATTTACTCCTCCATGAAATGTGGTGATTACATTACACCCACATCTTGGGTAGCTGTGAGCCTTAACTGAAATAATAGTAGCTAATGTTTACCGAGCATTTTCTATGTGCAAATCATATTGTAGGAGCTTTATGTGGATTAACTTATTTAATTCTCATAATAACCTTATAAAGCCAAAGTACAGTTTTCTATGCACTTTACAAATGATGAAAATGAGGCATGGAGCAGTTATGTCTCTTGCCCAATGTTTCCGTCCTGGAGCTGGGATTTGCATCAAGTAGTCTGACTTGGTGGCCCGCCCTATGAACCATTTATAAATTCCTTGAAAGACACTGGAAGTGTCTGACAAATGTTAGCCAATACTCTTGACCTGGCCAGTAGATCAGCAAAGGCACCACTCCCGAACCCTCATCACAGAATGGGAAGATTCATGAACATTCTGGGCTCCTGCGATGGCCCTTCTGCACTGAGTCCCATTTGACCTTCACCAGGACTCCATAGCCTTTCTATTTCCTCTCTTCCCCCTTCAGACTTGGAGTAGCTAAGGTATAACCTTAACCCCATATAGAAAAGGAAATTGAGGAGCCAGGTGGCTATCTGCGTAGTGGAAGGGATCCCCAACCTCAGCTTCTGCCCTGACAATCAGCACACATGGGAGGCTCCTGCCCAGGGGGCAGCAGGCAGAGCAGGGACTGGTGGGGCTGCCAGAGCTCAGAAGTCCTCCTCAGACAGGTATCAGCAATTCCAGAATGTGGCGGCTGGCAAGCCTCTTACTGTTCCTGACCATCTGGAGAATTTCCAGCACACCAGTTACTCCTGGTAAGGCCGCTACCCTCCACTCCCATTCCCTAGGACCGTTCCACCATCCCCCTGAGCCTCAGGCAGAATGAGTTAGCTGTTGAACACAGCAGCAGCCTCCCTGGCTACAGAGGGCTGTGGTGACAGCGGCAGCCCCATCAGCATAGCTCCTTCTTCCAATCTGGGAAGTGGGTCACAGAGTCCCCTGAGCCTTCCCACTCCACTCATCACTCCCTCAACTGTGAAAGGCCTAGGTCCAGGCCAGGCCACATCAGAGTATCACTGCTCTAGGTGTTCTGTCCTCCTGAAACCCTGCTCCAACCTCCTCCTCTGGTTCCGACAGCCAACGGGAGGAGGCAGGATGCTGGCTGCAGGCAGAATGGGCTGCCTCATTTATTTGGCAGCCACCCACTTCCTCTTCTGGAGGCACACAAGCTGCTCCTTGCACTTATTCCCCTTCTTGAGCTACTTCTCTGCCTGGGGTGCCCTTCCTCCTCCCTCCACCACCACCCTTCAGCTCCCACCTGTGACCACTTGGTTCAACTGTCAAGACTCAGTTCAGGAGGCATACCTTCCTTTCCTGGACTTTGCATGCTCCTTCAAGCTTCCTTTTTGCACTCCCCTGACTTGATTCCCCATCCAGCTGCCCACCACCCCCAAAACAGACACCTCTCAGAGCCCAGGATTCATGTGGTGATACTCACTGGGTGACAGGTCTGTTGCCCAAGGGGAGGAGCCTGGGAAATGCTCAGTGAGGGAGGAGGTTGTGGAAGGATGGCATCTAGACAGGGTTGCACAGCTATATATATTCAGAGCACAATGAGACTGATTTAACTTTGCATTCTTGATAAGAGCAGCATATGGCATGTGACACTGGGAGCTCATTTCTGTGCCAGGCACTGGGCTGTTTTACTCAGTACAGCAAAACATCCTCAATTTGGATGAAAAGATGAGGTTCAGAGATGTAATGACACTGGCTAGTCACACAGACATCAGGCTGGGGTTCAAAGGGAGGTCTGAATGGCCAAGTCTCCTGTCCTCCAGCTCCCAGTCACCTCTTTGAATGAATGAAGAGCAGAAGAGAGGGGAGAGAATCATGACCTACAATTATAAGTCCTCCCCAGGGTCACCCTGGCTTGGGCCCCCAACTCAGGCCCCTCTACCAAAGTTAGCTTCCCCTCCCCCCAAACCAGTCTCAGTATTCTCCAGTAGCGAGCGGGCCCACCAGGTGCTACGGATAAACAAACGCGCCAACTCCTTCCTGGAGGAGCTCCGGGCCAGCAACCTGGAACGGGAGTGCTTGGAGGAGATCTGTGACTTCGAGGAGGCCCAGGAGATTTTCCAAAATGTGGATAACACAGTAAGACCACCTGGCTGGGTCCAGAGGACAAGGCTGAAGGGTGGGTTGGTGGCTGGCTGGGGCCTGGAAAAACATGATGAGGGTGACCTCTGAGGCCCTCTTGTGCGTCTGGGGAGGCAGTGGGCACCAACCCCTTGACCCCCAGCTTGGGGCTGGGTGCAGAGAATGAATAGGACACTGGCTCTGTGTTGTATGTGTACTGCAAGAGACAGACCTCTACAATTAGCTCCAGGAAAAAAGGACTTGGGGAAGCCTTAGGCTGGAGTGCCCACTCAAGTCAACTGTAAGGGCTCACCCTCCACCTCACCTGTTCTCTCCTTCTGTAACCAAAGGGCTCCCATCTCTTGTTCCACCGATGAACCTGCTGATCAGGGTGTGTGACCGAACTCCCTCATGTCTGTCTACATATGTTAACTATGTGTCTTACTTGAGCAAGCAAAGTCTGTTTGCTCAGAGGACCTGAGGAAAGGGTCTTTGTCCTCTCTAGGCCCTAGGCCCTGAGGGGGTGTCCCTGAGGTGGAAGGTGGGCTTGGGAAGAGAGGTGGTTTTCCAATACAAATCTTAGAACCCCTCCATCCCCAAGCACCCACTTTGGCTGCTAGGACCTGGGAGTGTGCCACCTGGGGTCCCCCATGCTGTAGGGGTGTACTTCCTGTTCAGAGCTTCCTAGGCTGAGAGTAAACTCTGGTCTGTTCCCTCTCTTGCCCTCAGCTGTCACCTCCTTGAGTAGATTCCCACTGCCTGTTTTCCCGAATGATCTCCTCAGCAGACACCAAATAATATTCTGCAGGCACAATCTGAGCCCATCATATCCCTCCTGGGCCCCCTACTTCACCATAAGGTCTTTGTGTAGGCAGGGCAGAGCTGATGCTGCAGGGGGGATTAATGGTACAGGCATCAGGGAGTGGATTTCAGTGTGTGGTGATCCCACACCAGCAGCAGCAGCAGCAGCAGCAGCACCTGGTTAGAAAAGCAGACCACTGCCCCAGATCTTCTGAACCAGACATCTGTGACTCACCAATGAGATCCCAGAGCTTGCTCAACTTTGGGAACACTGGCTTAGGGAAAGACCAGATAGATGCAGGAGAGGTCCAGAAGAGCCATGAGGAGTGAGTGACAGGGACTGGAAGGAGGCAGAGCAGCCAAGTGAGCCATTGGGGTCTCTTTCATTGCAGAGGCGGCAGGCTGGCAGCTGCACAGGGCACTGGGCAAGTGGGGAAGGGAGGGGGGAATGGGAGGCAGAGTGGTAGTGTGTTGTTCAAGGGATGTGGTGTGGAGATGGGCAACAGGAGGCAAGGAAGAGCTGGCCTTGCTCTGGGTTCAAATGCACTAGGGGGTGGTTTCAAGCAGGGGTTGACCCCTCTTTGTTGGAAGCCCTTCTCTCCCCTGCCCACTTAGAGGCTGCAGAGCCCCACCTGGGCTAGACCTGAGAGGCGCCCGTGGGCTCCTCATATACCCACCTGGTCGAATGGCCTCTGATGCGGCCCTTTCTCTCCACAGCTGGCATTCTGGTCCAAGTACCACGGTGAGTGCTCTCTAGACACCTGAATGTGGTGCCTGGGCTCCTGGGGGTCTCTGGACCGCTGTGGGGAGGTGGATGGGGCTGGTGGCACCAGTAACACCTCCCAAACCCTATGTCGCAGATGGCGACCAGTGCAAGGTCCAGCCTCCTGAGCACCCTTGCGACAGCCCGTGCTGCGGTCACGGCAAGTGCACCGATGGCATCGGTGGCTTCAGTTGCGAATGCAGCCAGGGCTGGGAGGGCCGCTTCTGCCAGAAAGGTGAGGGGCCCACCAGGCTGGGTGGTAGGCTGAGTTCGGGAGAGCTGCGGTGGGTGTGCGTGTGGTGGGAAATAGGTGGGGGGCGCTGGTGCGGGGGCGTTCTCCAGTCGGGGTGGGGGTGGGGAGTTGGGGTGTGGAGCGCACAGTGCCATGGCGCCCCGCAAGACGTCCTCCTCGGGTGTCCATTCAGAAGTGCATTTCTCCAACTGCTCGGTGGACAATGGCGGCTGTGCGCATTATTGCCTGGAGGAGAAGGGCAAGCGCTACTGTAGCTGTGCGGAAGGCTACGGGCTAGGGGACGACCACCTGCAGTGTGAGCCCAAGGGTGAGACCCGGAGCTGGGCAGGGCGGTGGGGCCCAGGGCGAATCTGGGGTGCGAGAAACCGAGCAGCATTGAGTCCTACTGAAGGGAGACGGGCTGCCCCAAATCCGGGTGCTCTAGGACTGCTTCCTGCCTGCTCTTTTCCTAGCTTGCCTGCCTTCCTCCTGGTGACTCTCACCTTGCACACAACTCCAGGAGCCGGAACCCATAGGTAGCTCATCTCCCAAAAATCTATGCCGACACAGGGGGCCAGGCCGCCACCATCTTCCTCTATCTATCTTGGATGGCTTTATTTCCTAAAGATGCTTTGTGCAGCCCAGCATTCCCTTTCCCCTTTTAACTGTGGCTTCTCTGTGGAAAAAGAGGAACCCAAGATTTTGCTTTCCTACCTATTTTGCTTTGTATAGATTTTAATTTTCATCAAATTTATATATGTATTGTACAAAAAAGTCAGAGGTTTACAACTCTTACAATGAATTTCAGCATGTTGTTACTCACTGTGGGTCTTTATTCATTTATTGTACAACACCCTTGGTAGACCCTTTGAATGTGGAAACTCGTGTCTTCCAGCTCTAGGAATATTTCTTCAGTTGTTTCTTGATAATCTCCCTTCCTGTTTTGTCTGTTTTATTTCTAGACCGCCTATTCTTAGATCTCTTCCTCTCAATGGATCTATTTTATAGTCTCTTCTATTTTCCATTTCTTTGACTTTGTGCTCTTCTTTCAGGGAACTTTCCACAGCTTAATATTCCAATCCTTTTACTGCACACACACAAAAAAAGTTCTAACTTTGACTTTGGAATTAATTAAATTTCATGAGCAGTTGCAAAGAAATGCCTAGTGGATTTGTTGGCCTAGTGGATCTGTGGGCTTTCTTGAAGACCACCATAAGTCCAAGGTCACTGGCAGAACCCCTTTTGCCCAGAACCTTAGGTCCTCACTTTATTCCGTTTTCTGAGAGGAATCCTCCAGGGTCATGCTTGAGTTCCTGCTCCTCAGAGCAGAGAGAGGAGGGAAGCTGGTGTCTGGGTAGTCTGCGGATGTCTGAGTGATTCCCTCTGGTCAGACTGTGTGTCACTCTTTCTTCTGGCAGTGCCTGGAGTCCCCAAATCACAGCCTCTGGCTTACCCTCTGCAGAGAATAATATACCTAAGGTCTTATGCAGGGGTGCGAGAGGGGAGAGTCAAGCCACTGATGAGTCAGGACAGAGGTCTAGGGTTCTCGCAGTTTCTCTTATAAACTCTCAACATTCCTGTCTGCAGTCGTACCTGCACATCATCCTTTCGAAGCGCCAAGCCTTCCTGTGGTTCTGTGGCAAAAAGTACTCTGTACCTGGCATCCACTATTACTGACTGAGGTTATTGCTTTCTCAGTCAGCCAGTGTCCATCTGCTATGCAGCTTCTGCAGTTTTGCTGCCACTGTCTCATCTCCATTCTCTGTCACTATTCACTTCCCCTGCTAATGATTTTCTGCTGCCCTACAATAAGTCTAAATCTCTCAGCCTAGTTGAGTGGCCCATCCTGAGCAGACCCCTGAGGTCTCTGTCAGGTGCCCTCTCCTCTTGGAATAGGACCTCACAGCAGTGCTCAGAGCTACTTTGGTGCTCCCCAGGAATGCCAACCTCCTCCTTGCCATAATTTTTAACCTCTGTGAGGATCATGGCAGCATCCCAGCATGAGGCCTTACTTATATATCTCAGAGATTGCCTTCAACAGCCCTGGGGAATACTGAACTTGGAGCAGTTTAACAACCTACCCAAGGATATACAGCTAGAAAGTAATGTTGCTCAGTCTGACTCCTGTTTGTTGACTGACTACACCGAGGGGACTTCCAGGTTGATTATATGCGAGTCCAACCATCTTTTACCCCTTGAACCTCACAAAGTGGCAGACTAGTCTGCAGGCAGGACGTGGACAAGGATGGGAAGGCATCTGGGGGTAGTGCCTGGCAGGCCCTCACCACCTCTCCCACCTTCAGTGAAATTCCCATGTGGAAGGCCCTGGAAACCAATGGAGAAGAAAAGCAAGATCTTGAAATGCTGCACAGACCAAGTAGACCAAGTAGATCCACGGCTCATCAACGGGAAGTTGACCCTGCAGGGAGAGAGCCCCTGGCAGGTGAGAGGAGGGGCAGCAGCCAGGGGATCCTGCTCAGGATGCACAAAACAGGAGGTGCTGCCTTTGCTTGGAGGTGTAAGAAGAGGCAGGTGCTAAAGCACTAAAGGGAACAGGTCAACTCCTTGAGCTGTACAGAAACAAAAAATGCCAGAAAAGTGCCAGAAATACATGCCACATGGCCAGGGGACCCAGGAAAGACTGATTTATGCTTCCAGTACCTCAGCTTGGGAACCCGCACCAGTAAGAGTCTGTACTGAGACACAGGGGCCCTGACTTGGAGTTGTCAAAAGCTAGTGCTGTGATGTCACTACCCACTCCCATTCCAGGTGATCCTTCTGGACTCAAAGAAGAAGCTGGCCTGTGGGGCAGTGCTGATCCATACTTCCTGGGTGCTGACAGCAGCTCACTGCATGGAAAACTCCCAGAAGCTCATCGTCAGGCTTGGTGAGGGCTGTAGCCAGGCAGGAGAGGGCCACCAGAGGCCTCAGGGAGGGGTGGCACAACACAAGCTAGTCTCGTTTGGGGACCCTATCCCTGGGGAGTATTTGATATCTACAGAAGGTGTTTAGGGGACAAAGTCCTATTTGCTCCAACCCTGTCACTCCTGGGGTAGGGTTTTGGACACAGTGACACTTGGTATTTTGCAGGTAGGGGATTCTTGGGTGCCCTCTTCAAATCTGAGCCCAGGTGCTTATACACAGGTGCTTGCAAGTAAGGGGGTTACATACATACAAGCCTCCTATCTCCCACTCATATGCAGCTGGCTGTGTGTGTGCACCTCTAACACCCTCTGGCACAGACCCACAAGGCACCCACACAGCCTGACCTCAGGGTCATGCTTCACATAGACTGACAGATATGGACCTGTGCAGCAGGGCCCAGCATCAGCCACAGTAGCCAGCTGCTTCCCTGCAACAGCTTGGGAGTCCCAAGCCTAGGCCCCACTCTGTACCAGTTTGTGAAGGGGGCACTTATTCCATTTGTTTTACAAAAAAGAAGGAAGGGTTGCATTGACAATGACCAGATTCACATTCTCTACAATCACCTGCAGCACAACCAGTGGCCTGTGCCCTGCAGTGGGACTCTGCTTGAAATTTCCAGGCATGCCTTTACCTTGCAGGAACTACCAGCCTTGCCTGAGAGGACCTTGTCTCTTGTGTGTGACCCAAGTCTTTCTTCCCTGCAGAGCCTGGATCCTGTTGGTCCTCTTCTCTGGGCCTTGCTGCTCCTGCCCTGCCCCCACTATGGCATGTTCCTGCCTTGTGCTCAAGCCAAGCACTGCTAGCCATGCCTCTGCTGTTCCAAGAGTCTGTCTTTTCAACTGCAGTCTCCCATTCTGTTTGTGGCTCTTCTCTGTGTCCTGGGTTTCTAGGGAGTCTCGGGTTTTCCTGCTGATTGCCACTACTACTCACTTCCTTGGCACTGTTCCACCTGTAAGTCCTAAATTCAGACCAGCATTCTGTCCCTTTAGGGTAGATGCCCATGGGCTATTACCCTTAACGGGGAACTAAAGTGCAGACATGTGTACTGGGATGGGGCCTGGGGTATACAGTGACCACTCTAGCTGTGGACCCACTGCCTGCCTTCCAGCAGGTCCTGCATCCCCCAAGTCCACTCTGACAGCCCCTCTGCCCTGCAGGAGAATATGACCTACGGCGCAGGGAGAAGTGGGAGGTGGATCTAGACATAAAGGAGGTCTTCATGCACCCCAACTACAGCAGGAGCACCACCGACAATGACATTGCTCTGCTTCATCTCTCCCGGCCTGCCACCCTCTCACAGACCATTGTGCCCATCTGCCTCCCTGACAGTGGCCTCTCAGAGCGTGAGCTCACCAGGGTCGGCCAGGAGACAGTGGTGACTGGCTGGGGCTACCGCAGTGAGACCAAGAGAAACCTCACCTTCATCCTCAGCTTCATTAAGATTCCAGTGGCCCCTCACAATGACTGCATCCAAGTCATGCACAATATGGTCTCTGAGAACATGTTATGTGCAGGCATCCTTGGAGACCCACGGGATGCCTGCGAAGGTGACAGTGGGGGACCAATGGTTGTCTCCTTCCATGGCACCTGGTTCCTGGTGGGCCTGGTGAGCTGGGGTGAGGGCTGTGGGCGCCTCCACAACTATGGCATTTACACCAAAGTCAGCCCTTACCTCAACTGGATCTATAGTCACATCAGAGCTGAGGAGGCCTCCCTCAACAGCCAGGTGCCCTAACGTCCCTCCCACTATGTCTGTATCCCAGATGCCACTCTGGAATGGGATCTGGCTATTGAATGTCAATATATGTGACATTAAAGGGTCATGCAACAAGCACACCAGCTGCTGTTCTGTCTGTCCATTCATTTCCTGGGCTGCTCTGGAGGGAAGTAATATTTATTGAACATGCGTATATCCTATACCTTATAAACAGGATCTTATTTAACACCCACAGCAACTCCGTGGGTTAGGGAAGAGCAGATCTAAGTTTTGTGGGGTCTGAAGTTGGTAACGTTTGGGAGACTCTCTTTATGAAAAAGAATAAAATCTGTGACCTTAAAACTGCAAGAGCCCCTTCCAGGACCTTAGAAGGGGCCTGTGCCAGTCAGAGACCCTGAAGCTGAAGCTGTACAATAAATCCAACACTGGAGGTAGAAAGTTTTAACTCATATTACGCAGGAGGAAACAGGTTCAGGAAGGTTTTACATGGTGGATTCAAATCTGTTTCCAAAACCTAGGTGCTATTGTCTGTTCTGCACTGGTCCTGAAGAGCAGCCGTTCTGAGCACTGCAGGCATGGAGACCATCACTGGCCCTGTGAGGGAAGAAGTGAAACCTGGAAGGTGTTGGTTCAGCCCAGTAGCTCACAGTGCAGGTGGGGAAGCTATTCAAGAACAATGTTACATAATCATGAATAGCAATAAGCAAGAGGCTCTATCTTGACCTGGCTTTATATGCATAAACAAGTGAGTCAGAGAAAGAAGTTAGGATATACCTGATAATAAAGGATAGCGGTGAATCAAATTGGTTGAAAGTCCTAAAGGTAGCCTAACTGTGTGGCCTCAGGCAAGCCGCTTCCCTCCTGCAGGCATCAATAAATGAGGGGATTAAAATGAGAGCAGTAGCTCTCCCCTGGCTGATTTGAATTCCCTAGGGAGCTTTTGAAAACATCTATGTCCATTTCCACCCTTAAAGATTCTGGTTTAACTGACTTGAGGTAGGGAACCCAGACGCTGATTTTTTAAAAACTCCCTGGTCGTTTTCATGTGTGACGGGTTGAAAAACACTGCACCAATGGTCTTTAAGGGCCTTTTCTGCTTGGGTGGGCACTAGTTCTAAGACTCTCAAGGCCAATGAGAATAAAGATCAGAGTCTCAGGAGAGTGCAGCACAAGTCAGTCAACGGTAAAGGGGGCTATGATTTGTGATTATACCCAGGATGTCAGTAGCACAGCTGCTGCTTACAACCAGAGGTGACATCAGGACCCACTGAGTTATCTATGTGCAATCACAAGAAAACAGGCATGCCTGAGATGGAGCCTACAGCATTCACTTTCTTGTGGACCTTGGAAAGGGGTAAGTAGAACTGCTTGGAAGTGGGAGGAAGCTAGGCCTTGAACCACGTGCCTTGGGCCTGTGTCCCCAACTCTTGCAGTGGAAAATGATGGATTGAGAGAATGACAGTGTGCTGGAGGTATTTGCCCTTGTTACAGACTCCACCAGGTGGGTTTCCTGTAAAGATGGTTAACTAGCATAGGCCAGATAACTTCTAGAATGACAGCGTGAGGAGATCTGCCATGCTTGCCAGTGAAACTAGTGAAAATTAAAAAAACAAACAAACATTTAAAGTCTCTGGACATGGTCCTAAGGGCAAACAAAGCAAGAAGAAAAATACAACTTTTAAACCAAAACAAGAAAACTTGATCTGTCCAATAGAAAACAAGAAGAATGAAAAAAATAACTTGCACAAAAATCTATTGCACTTCTATATATTAAAAATGAACATGTGGAAATCAAAATTAAAAATATGACATCAGTGCCAATCACTTGCAAAAAAAATAATATAAATGGAGCCACTTTGAAATGGAATGCCAGCCCAGAGGAACTGCCTCGCACATCTGATGCCTCAAACCTTTCCATGTTAAAACAGGGAAAAATAACTTTTTGACTGGCCTAAAGCAACCTTGTGTCCCAAAGAAATGTTTGCAAAGAGAACAAGAAAGCAGTCATTATGACTACCAGACTGAAAATTGAAGATAGAATCAGGATCACTGTGTTATCTTATCTACAGCCATAGCCATTCCTTCTATTCATGTAATTATCCCCCTTTGCTTTCTCCTAAGTACCCATTGCCTCAGTCTCATCAGAACACTGTTTGGGCTCCTGCCTGAATCAGTGCTTCCTGAAAAGCTATTCTTCTTTTTAATCTCAAATAAATATTTGTTATGTCTCGCTTTGACCTTTTATTTTTAGGTTAACAAATTCTAAAGGAAATGAAGTGCTTAGCTATAAATTTAACAGACTTTGTACCAGATCTGTGTGATAAAATTTATAAAATACTGATAAAAGAAATTAAAGGAAACCTAAATACATGGAGAGACATACTTGAAGACAGCACAGAGATATCAATTTTCCCAGAACTGATCTATAGGTTTAACACAACTCCTATCAAAATCCCAGCATGGTTTTTTGTAGCCATAGATAATGTTACCATAAAATATTTATATTGAGCCCTGTCAAGGTAGCTTGGTTGGTTGGAGTGTTGTCCCCATACAACAAGGTTGCGGGTTCAGTCCCTGGTTAGGGCACATACCTAGGTTGTAGGTTTGATCCCTAGTCAGAGTATGTACAATGAATGCATGGATGGGTGGAACAATAAAGTTGATGTTCCCTTTCTCTCTCATGCACTCTCTGTCTCTCAAATCAATAAATTTTTAAAAAACAGTTTTAAAGTGAAGAAACTTCCATATATATATGGAAGGACCCTGAATACCTAAAACACTTTAGAAAAAGAAGAATAAATTAGAAAGAATTACTCTACCCAGTGTCATGGCTTATCATCAAGATACAGTAATGAAGACTGTGTTATTGTGTTTCAGGAGGGAGACACACAACACAGGGAATCCAAAAATAGACCCACACAACTATGACCATCTGCTTCTGACAAAGGCGCAAAAACAATTTAATGTAGAAAGGAGAGCCTTTTCAATAAAGTTGTAGTATCCATAAACCAAAAAATGAACCTTAACCTAAGTCTTACACCTTATAAAAACATTACCTCAAAATGGACTTAAATATAAAACCATAAAATGAAACAAAAAGAGAGGTAATGGAAACTATGGGATAAGATGAAAATAATAATAATAAATATAATTAGTTAAACTTACCAATGAAGAGAGAAAACTCTCAGAATAAAAAATAATCTGACAATACATTATGTATGGACAACTCAAAAAAACCCCTGAAAGACTGAAAATAAAGAATGCTAGAAATTCCATGCAAACTGAAATGAAAAGATGGCTAAGACAATGATTTTAATAACTGATAAAATAGAAATCAAGTAAAAAATATCATAAAGAACCAAGATGGATTTTAAATACCAATAAAATAATCAATCACATATAAAGATAAAAGCATCACAAAAATAACATGTGCCCCTAACAGTATAACCTCAAAATATGTAAACCAACCAGTGACAGAAGTGCAGGGAGAAATAAACAATTGTACTTGGAGATTTTTAAAAACTCTCTCAGTGACCTGGCTGGGTAGCCCAGTTGGTTGGAACATTTTCTTGTACACCAAAAAGGTTGCAGTTTCAGTTCCTGGTCAGGGCACATACCTAGGTTGTAGATTTTATCCCTGGTCAGGGAGCATATGAGAGACAACCGATCCATGTTTCTCTCCCACATCAATACTTCTCTCTCTCTCTCTCAAATCAATAAAAACATATCCTCAGGTGAGAATTAAAAAAAAAAAAAGGCTTTTCCAGGAACCAATAAATTAAACAGATTTTTAAAATTATGCAGATATATAGAGAATTTGAACAATAAAATTAATAAGCTTGAGTAATTCTCTTTTAGCACACTCGCACTATTTACATAGATATACTGGGCCATGAAGTAAGCCTCAATAAATCCCAAGGGCTTTAAACATGTCGTTTAGCCAAAAGGTAAGATAATAAAAATCAATATCAAAAAATAGTTTTTATATGTTCTCAAACTCATATATTAGTGAAAAATCATAAAAGAAACTAAGAAATAGAATTGAGCATTAAATTGTGGGACACAGCTAAAGCAATGCATCAAGGGAAATTATATCTTTAAATACACTAATCAAGACACAAAAAATGTTAAACATGACCATGTATTAATCGGGGTTCTCCAGAGACACAGAGTCAGCAGCCTATATTTATCTATAGCTATAGTTATCTATATACTATATATACATACATATATATGAGATTTATTTTAGGGAACTGGCTTATGTAATTGTGGCCAGTCCAAGATCTGATGGGATAGACTGACAGGCTGAAGACTCAAGAAAGAGATACAGTCCTAGTCCAAAGGCCATCTGTTGGTAGAATTCCTTCTTGCTCAGGGAAGGTCAATTTTTGTCCTGTTAAAGCCTTCAACTGACTGGATAAGGACTGTCCACACTATGGAGGATGATCATCTGCTTTACTCAGTCTACCAATGTAAATGTTTATCTCATCCAAAAATACCCTCACAGAGAACATCCAGAACAGTGCTTGACCAAATGAATATCTGGGCACCGTGGCCCAGCCAAGTTGATACATAAAATTAACCATCACAAAATGGTATGGGTTTAACTTTGTCCCCTCCCACTCCTCCAATTTTTATGTTAAAGTCCTAATCCTTGGAACTTCAGAAAGTGATCTTATTGGGAAATAGGGTCATTGCACATGAATTAGTTAAGATGAGATAATACAGGAGTAGGGTGAGCCTCTAATATGACTGGTGTTTTTATAAAATGGGAAATTTGAACATAGACACACCAAGCAGGAAGATGAAGTGAACACAAAGGGAGAATGCCTAGTGGGCAAAGGATCAGGAACCGGTGGCTAAGTCCCTGGGGAGGCCAAGAGAGGCTGAGCAGAGAGACAGGCCAAAGGATGAGGCTGGCCAGTCTCACCTTCACTCTAGTGGACCTTGTTATAGCAGTCTTCTCACAGCAGCCAGAAGGGAAACTGCAAACTCTCCCTTTTCATGAAAAGGAAAAAATTCCAAAGAGTCTGCCTAAGATATCTCTATTGAGTCTATGTGGGGGTTTGGGAGGCTCCAAAGTTCCTGTTTTGTCCTCTGTGACATGTGCCAGCTTACAGGTGAATGAC